AACTCCTTGTCATAGTGCATAAAACCTCACAAATTATTTCAACAAAGCACTAAGAAAGAAAAATACAAAAAAATACTACACGTATAATCCACAGAATATTTACAAAACGAAAAACATCCTGTCATCGTGCATGAAACCTCGCCCATGAATTCAACAAAATGCTAAAAAGAAAGCTGAACGAACACGACGGACCGGTGGTGCAGGAAATGGGTTAGAAAGTAATGAAAAAAGAAGAGAGAGTCGAAGCCTTTTCGGTTTACGTAACACGCGTGATAGCGAACAGCTCTACTGGTGGCTGCTGTCATTGATAGAAGCCCTTGGGGGCCACGCTGTTCCATGTCATCGAGGACGTAATTCTTCTCTGGTTGGAGAAAATCATTCGCGTAAAAAAAAGGAAGAGCAGTAGCGAAGAGAAAAAAAAGGTCAGGTGGTGCTGGGTACGGCCAAGGCCTTCCGCGCACTCCAAAGGAAAGAAGTCAAGCAAAGTACCGCTTTAAGGGCGCGCACGCCTTCCGCGGGAGTTTCCACGGCAATTTTCCCTCCTTCGTTCGATAACTCGATTCACCGCGACATTAATAACCTTACGGCAGAGCAGCGCTCTAAATAATTAAACGCTCCCTGGGATAGTTTTCCTTTTGCGCTCCCTTTTGTCCGGGTCCCTGCAGTGATTTTTCGCTTGATCCCCTATTTATTGGGTTGAATTCGCTATGGGGAATCTTGGAAAGTGACGTGTGGGGAATCGTGGTAGAATGGTGATTCGATTTGGAGGAGATTGAAGTGGATTTGGGAATTGTTAAGAATAAGATAAATACTGGAGACTGCTTTACAATGCTCGAAAATAAGAGAAACGCTAAGACGCTGAGGTACTAAGACACGAAAGTATTAAGATACTAAGATATTAAGATACTAAGGTATTAAAACACTAAAGTACTAAAACACTAAGGTACTAAGACACTAAGGTATTAAGATACTAAGGTACTAAGGTACTAAGGCACTAAGGTACTAAGGTACTAAGATACTAAGATATTAAGATACTAAGGTATTAAAACACTAAAATACTAAAACACTAAGGTACTAAGACACTAAGGTATTAAGATACTAAGGTACTAAGGCACTAAGATACTAAGATATTAAGGCACTAAGGCACTAAGGCACTAAGGCACTAAGGTACTAAGATACTAAGATATTAAGATACTAAGGTATTAAGGCACTAAGATACTAAGACACTAACGTACGAAAATAATAAGCTACTAAACTACTAAACTACTAAACTACTAAACTACTAAACTCCTAAACTACAAAACTACAAAACTACAAAACTACAAAACTACAAAACTATAAAACTACAAAACCACCAAACTACAAAACTACAAAACTACAAAACCACTAAGCCACTAAAAATTTGAACAACTAAACAATAAAACGAAGCATATACTATAAATCAAGACATCAATCAACTTCAATAAAGAAAGAAACCGATAAACAAAATCAACATATACTGCAATCCAAAAATGTAGTGACAGAGTAAAGTGTCTATCTATGGCTGACCAATTCTACTTCAAACGACTTCTGACTTATTTCACTTTTAAATTGGAAGCTGTTTCGCGTGGAAGTTGTAGAAGAGTGTAAGGGAAAGTTTACTTTACCCTGTAGTTTGTTTGAGAAATTTGTGTTTATTGAAGTGGAGAGCTTATGGCTGACTTGATCTACTTGTAGTAGTGTGAGATTTCTTAATATTTCGTATAAATTATATACTTCGAGAAGTTTATATATAATTCATGTTTTCTTGCGATCGTTCATGATCTTGATATAAAATTACTGGAATTTCAGTTGTAATGTATCTAGTATGTCCACAGCTAACTGTTTCTACTTGTGACACTTTGCCATATCTTTTTGCTACGAATAATTTATTGTAACAGTTTCCTTCACGAAGCTTCATTTTACTATCAACCATTGAAGCAATATGAAATCCATCAACGCAATGCCTGACCATGTCTGACTATTTCTACTTAAAGTAAACACCCAGTTTAACACAATATTAAACAACATAATGATCACACGACGATAAATTTACATCAGATCAACCTCAACCAAACAGCAATTTATAAACGCATTTCAGTAGAAATCCCCGTCACTAGTCAGACACAGCGATAAAACCTTTTTCGCTATTAATTGTCACCATTAAACCATCGAACACATTTTTATCGACGATCTCGCGTAACTTACGGTCACGTGGAAAACGCGTTAACGGTAGCAAAACTTCAAAAACAGTTACAAAATCCCGTGACATCGTTCGAAACCTATCCAGCGGGCCATCCCGTTGAAAACGACGATTGCTCCCAGTAGTGATCAAATCTGTCACGTTCACGAAAATCGAGTTTCCGAACGGTGAAAAAGTCCTCGGAAAATCTGGCAGCTGCGCGGCAGAATCGTCGAACGGCAACTCGTGGCCGATTCGAAAGTTTCTGCTTT